AATAATGACCCTCCATGTGTGATACCTCGTTGGAAAGCTCTGAAAAAATGGTTTCCAACCATACCAAATAGCATTACATTTAGGTTAGTAATTATCGTGCAAATCAAAAAATAAACGTCCTCATATGAAGTAGTTATGGCGTCGCTTACTAATGCGGCAGCCTCTTCCACCTGCTCTGCTTTTCGACAGGGGAAATGTGGTCCATCTAACCGCACCGAGTGCCTACTCCTTCCTCTGCCATCTTTCGGCTGAAGTTTTAGAGCTACAAAATCCCTGAAACGGAAATCAGACATTAGATAATGCTCGACTCATCTATCGACATAAATGCAAGTCCTAGCGTTCAGTTGGCGGTCCCTCTTATAATAAAGAGACTACTCCACCTGCCCTAGACCTCTGGTCATATGCCTGTCTGCTTTACAGCAAGTTGGCGAACTATTCAACAGGTTGCTCTGTAAGTAGGGTACCTCGTCTATCACTGATGTACTAGGTTCTCCCCTCCCCCCTAGTGATGCCGATGGTTCCGACTCCTGGTTGGAGCCAAGAACCCCCACACACTCGTCGACATCCTCCTCGACCTTTAAGGGTGTACAGTAGTAACCCCGATGCTCCTTGAAGGTCAATAGCGAGTCGCAATAGAACTGGGTCCCGCTGCTCCGGTGGAGCCCTCTCCCTTATCTGGCGCAACCGTGGCAATCGTCAGAAATGTGACGTGCGATTGAAAGTTCTGCCGCTAAAGGGCCTGATTGGCCTCATCGACACCAAATCCGAGGATCATAGGCTTGTCCTGAAACCAGGATTTTGCCACTGGAGGCGCTGCGCCCTCTTGCAGCGCCTGAATGCTTTGCTCTATTTTGCATTTATCATACCCACATAAACATATTTTTCATTCTTTTTTGGAAATTTTGAAAAGCATAATTTGTCATTTTATATGAGTAACGTAGGTTGGCAATATGGCATCCCCCTTTTTCTCTCCTGCACCCTTTCACTGGTATTGTTTAACTAACTTATATCATGTGGAAGATTTAACCCTTAACTATCCAATGCTTATGTGTAACTATTCGATGCTTATATATGGTTTATTTGTTTCTTTATAATAGTAGGTAATAGTAAGTTGCACATTTCTAACAATTGAATTCAATAAATTTTATTGCAAGATATTGCAAGCACCCAACAAAAAACACAGGTAAATTAGAAATGAAGTCGTTGTGAATGAAACACACGGAAATTAATGTGAAAATTACAAGTGCGATTTAATCTTAACACACAAAAGGGTAACGGTACAAAAACCCAAGCAATTATTACAAATAGACTAAAATCATAACTTAACTACTTACATTACTTGTCCGGCAATTGTGATATCCAATCAAAAAGTATCGGTACACAGTTCACAAAAATTAAAAATTTTCAATGAACACAAATAACACTTTACACTAACGACATCGAGTAATCGCAGCATCTTCTCTTCACGTAGACAAAGACCTTCACAAAAAAAACTCAACATCAAACTGAATCACGTTGAAAACCAAAACTTTACGACAATCCTCCAGCCGGTAAGCCATAAAGAAAAACTTCAGTGTTGTATTATGCACGAACAAACGTAGAAAAGTAATTAGTCGCGAATTCGGATTCCGGGTTCACAAACGACACTTCTTCAATCTTCAATGAAAAGTAGTTCTGCGTTGAACGTGGCAAGAAGCGACACTTTTCTTCTTAACGTCCTATTTAAGGCGAAACCCTTCTTCCAATAATAAAAATTACAACAACCAATCATACACAGTTGACAATAAACACTATCCCCTCAACATTCGTTAATAGACCAAAAAGAAGAGGTCGACTCATTTTTATAAATCAAATCAAATCAAATCATTTATTGTCAGAGTACCAAATGTGGCTTTGACATGTCAATAATGCACAATGTAAATAACCTAAATATAAAACAGCAACATTCGAGATATAACTACACATTTTCAATAAATATAAATATGGACGTACACTACACATTAAAATTTTGATTTACATAAAATAATAATAATAATGTAGCTTACGCTTACACTTATCATATATGTGACACAAGGGTGTAATATAAAAACAAAGGACATATGATGGGACGAACATACAAAACTGATACGCATCAAGGCACGAGTTACCATTTAGTGGAATAAATAAAGAGTATATAAAATAAAATCGAAAAATAAAATAAATTAACAGGTTTCATATAAGACTAGATCGATTATCACAGTTGAATTCTTCAATAGCGTAATATGCTTTTTTTAATAGTATTTCTTTTAATTTCTTTTTTAGTTGTAGTCTAGTCAACTCTTTTATTTGCGTTGGAAGACGATTGAAGAGTTTTTGGGAGACGTACACTAGTCCATTTTGCGTCTTGGCTAAACGGCAATAGTTTGGCCTTATGTTAGTTCGGGATCTTGTGAAATGATGATGTATATCACTTTGTAATTTAAATTGATGAAGATTATCTTTCGCATACATAATACTATCTAACAAATATTGTGATGGTAAGGTTAATATTTTTAGGTCAATAAAAGTCATTCGGCAATCATCCCTATAACCAAGACCATTTATTATTCGTACTGCGCGTCAGACATTAAGAGATAAATCAAAACTTAAATTCTAGGAAAATAAAATTTCATCTCTCTTTACTACACAGAAAAGGCGATAAATCACATCTGTCTATTAAATTAAGCATTTACATTTGATAACAGAAAAAACCCAAAAAATCCCCAGAACTTTCTACGTTTAAATAAAATGTAAACAAAAGCAACCTTGGCCGCTTTTTCGTATAGCACAATAATTTCCATGCCGTTACATAGACCAACTACAATTAATAAAATTAATTAGGAAAGTTAATAACACAAAAAGGAGCCCTTGTCTATCCTGCCGGACGAAATAAACACAGCAATACGTCATCTTTCTATTATTATTATCATTCTAATTTACCGTTCCCAAAATAAGCTACTTTTGTAACAGTACAATGTGAACAATATAGAATACCTTTCCTCACCTTTCGGCAGAATAAACATAAACATACATCCTTGGAGTAAAAATATTAAACAAACTTCCACTTGAAATAAGAACCGCTATAACATACCTACTCTATTTTCAAGCGAAAATTAAAAAGTATCTTTTTTGTAAAAATTATTATGAAATTAGTGAATACTTAAGTTTTAACGAAATTGTCTTGTGATCTTTGTTAGTACATATTTACAAAATCAGACCGTGATTAAGAAATTGTATCAACTAAAAAATGTGCTGTGATAATTTTATCATTAATTATTGTCATTAGTCTTATTGTTTGTTTGTTATCTTATCCAAGTACATGGTCAAAAATATCAAATATTATTATTAATATCACGTAAAAAAAATCCAAAACTCCATTTACGCAAGTATTTCACCGTTAGATCATACTCAATCTTTCAAAACCCAGCAACTAGATCTTTTATAATTACACAAGGTTTTCCCCTCGGTTTTCCCTATTACGGACCACGACAAACAAGGCCACTCCTTAGTTACGTCGGTCGCCGGGAAATCCCGTTCACCAAGGCCACAGCCATGCGCCACAAAACAGTGGTGGGGATAGTGTCCTTTTCTACTAGCGCGCTGAGCTGGAAAATGTGCTAAAATACTAACACCATGATACAACTCAAATAAATCGTAAGGGTTTCGGTGAACTGAATAGTTTTTTGCTGCGGATTCCTGGTTTATTGCTGCCATGGTTTATTCAAGTTTCAGGTTCTTTGGATAATTTTTAGCTTCCTAGCATGTGCTAGGTAGCTATTGCGATAGCCGTTTTTTGAACATTTCAAAATTTCATCAAATGTCGACCATTTTAAGCAACTTTTAAAGAATAAAATTTTTTTCCGTCTGTATGTACGTACGTACGCTATTCTGTCAAGAATTTGACACCTGGTTTGTCAAAAAGTTGCACATAGTGCCCACAAAAAACTTTTTAAGCGGTTTTGAAATTGGATTACATATATGAATTAAATAAAATGCAGTTGAAAAATAGAAAACCCCAACAGATTTTAATGTTGTAGATAAAATAAAAAAGCAAAATTCGGAGACGCTATATAAAGCACGCGGTAATTTTATATAAATTTCTGCAATATTAGGCCTAATTATGAAACTTACCAAACTACCAACAACTAATTAATGCGAAAAACATTTCTTGTGCTTCACTTTACAAGCTCGAAATTATGCAGTATATAAATTACGTTTTGTTGTTCAATTTTTTCGGTGGTATAATCACGTGAATTGAAATCCCTATAATAAACTGTCAAAGGGAACAAATAAAATTAACAGTAACTGTTAACAGAGAGAAAGTCGAAAACATTTTGATTGGATCTGCTCTTGGTTTGCGTGGAATGCAAGTCTGTGAAATTTAGATCTCTCCGGAAAAAGGTGCTTGAATTGTAACCCTTTTCTATATGCCTTCATCGATAATTATACCCAAACTAATTTAATCGGTCTGCACCTTTGAAAAGTCGACTTCTTCGCACTTTACAGGGTGATATGAGCGAAACATTCCTGAATAGATTGAAATTTCTTTTACTACGCAATAAGTAATTCAACAAGTATAGGTAGACTCGCATTTTTTAATCAATTACGTCTTTTGTATGAAATTTAATTTTCTCATATATAAACCGGGTGATAAATATAATCTGGTAGCATAACAATATAATTATCTCAAAATCTACATTAAAAGTAAGAAGCCCGATTTAGAAATTATATCCCTAATTCCACCCCCACGCTAAAATCATGGCACTATAAACTAAGTCTCAACATCTATACGTGCATCCCTTTTACTCAATACCCTTTTATATTTATATCTCCGTCTCACACCTCCACTCAAGCTGTAGAATAACGAACTGGACATTACGAAATCTAATTACAATCTTTGCTCATGCGTGGCCGAACGGGCACGGATGGGGTATACTCAAAGGGGCGCCGATAGGGCCCGGGCGTCCCGACGCAGGGGCAAGAGAGACCGCGACAGGGTAGGTAGGGGTAAATTGGGGCCGCGCAACGAGAGCGCGAAGCTCTTATTTTGAATACCAGTAGCCGTTTCGTTGCTACTTCTGCGAACGCGAGTTAGTTCTTCTGAATAATCCCCGCACAGAGTGTGGCCCCAATTACCACCTATTGTACACACATGATTCTTACAACTCGTTCTGCTCGATGAACAGGACATTATTATCGCGTGCGTGTTTATATTAAAATTTTTACATATGTTTTTACGTGTCGCATTTTAAAAGTGCATTGTGCGAATTTGATCGGAAGTGCGCCCACTTTAAGACTGGGACTGGAAAGTTTATTCCGCATTTAATAAACAGTTTAATTAATGTGTTTGTGTATATCGATTCGGCTACTTGAACAAGACGAGTGAACTTTTTTGAACCGTTCAAACATCGCCTCCAACACGGCTACTAAGTTACAAGATCGCTATTTAATCACTTCTAGCACATCAACCTCAGGTATGACTAATTAAGTTATTTTGTCCAAGCCCAAACGAAATTGCCGCGAAACATTTCGAAAAGTTGGGCACGCAGAATCGGCGCGCATCATCTCTTTTTTTTGCAATCGTGGATTGTTCACTTGCGAAATCTGGAGAAATTTAATTCTTTTTCTGTAGATATACTTTAATGGTTAATAAAGTTTTATATCCAATTATACGATGGCGCGCTTAAAGTAATCTCGATGCGAATACTAATTAAGGTAAAATCCTTGTTTTTCGAATTGCGACAATCAATTGTGTTAAAAACGATTGATACGAAAGAGGGAATTTTCTACTTGTTGTAATAATTATTTCAGTTGTATGAGTCAGTGATTTGTCGCATTAAAGTAAAATTACATTAACTTTACAATAAAAATCTTATTTATACGCCATGACTCATGCATATTTTTGAAATTAACATATGTATAGTGTTGGTAATAATTAGATATGTTTATGGGTGCGTTAATGTTCTTAATATATGCGCAATCTAAATACGCTTTGCAAAAATAAGGCAATTAATTTGGCTTCAGCGTAGGCACAAATTAGGTACTGTGTGTAAAAAACAGACCAATAATTACGGGTAATGCGTAAACGGCAACAGTGTCATTAAAATAATTATGCACTGTGCAATATTTATTTGTTTGGATTAAACACGTGCGTGTCACAATTTACACGTGGTCGCGTCTTCTCACTTTCCGCGAGTAGACGGAGCTTTCAAAGGCGTCGTCGTATAAGCGCCAAGGTCGTCTGTGGAAGCTCGCGATTTCCTACACGGTCGTTTCTTTTAAACGCGCAACTTTCGCCGCATCCCAAACGGCTTTTATTTCCGTCACCTGGAACTCGTCGAAACAAAAACGATTGTACACCCCCAACCGCGCGCGATTACACAAAGCGATCGCGGAGGGATTATATTAAATAATCAACAAGGATAGTGGAGGAAAAACCCCACGTCCATTCTTTTCATTCTTTCTCGAAGACTGGGTCAAAGCGCACGCCCAAACGCACCAGGAAACTTTATTTTACGCGACTTTTATTTCCTAACTTTTTCAGACGATCTGAAAGTTTTTATGCTTTAAACGAGCCGTAATAATGCACTCTTTTTCGAAAGCCATAAACTGTTTACGTCCGCGGCCCTATCTTTTACACTTACGGAAGGTGTCGACGTTTCGTTCTTTTTTCGCGCCAGCGCGCGTTTAGAATTAAATGCCAACAAAATTAAATGGAAAATTTGCCACCATTGATTTGACAGCTGCATTTCAACTGTAGCGAATCGGGCAGGTGCTAATCCGACGGAACTGAATGCACCATTCAAATTGTAATGTATGCATATAAAATACAAATTAATTGTTGTGTTAATTATTAAATTGTTTTCTTGTTTCTTATTGGGTGTCAAAGTTACATTTTAATAGTGAATGGAGTTTTCAAAATGGTGTTTTCCGTAAATCGGAAGTTTTTATTGGATCTGATTAGAATCGTGAAAATCTGCTTCGGAACTACTTGAAACCATACCTTCATGAAAACCTATTTAGAACCTCTAGAAAAATCATAGAAATTGGAAATCTTAATGAGGCTCCTCCCAGTTTTTAATTAATTAGACCCAATAATAGAAAGAACGTATAAAAAAAATTCCTCCATGTAATGGTTTTGTTCGTCAGCCGGCCCATTTGTTCCTCGTCTAACTGAAGAACAAAAAGAGACACCTCTATTGAATATGAGCCAGATTAAAAATGTTTCCGAATGCGAGCTGAGTATCAAAAAATTCCCCTACTAAAAATCGTAGGAGATTCTTCGTATCTTGATTTGTAATGTGGCTAGAAAAACAATAAGTTCCAATATGGAAATGTTACATTTGTTATTGTACCTGCACGAGAATCGCTGTTTAGAACACGCCTAGGGGTTGCGAAAAAAGGACCTTGTTTAAAATATGACATATGAGACTATAATCTGGGACTGAAATAAAAAATCCTCTCAAATCGCTTTCTGCAAATCGTATACTTTGTTGGAAGCTTTCAAAAACGCACGCAGTTTAGAGTAGGTATGCTTCCAAATCTGTTCCACTTTTTAATCGCAGTTTTGATTGAAGTTTTGAATAAAGGCATCAAAGAGCAGAAGATTTAAATACCTACTCTTGCCATTTCCTTAATATATAACAGCATGAACGATTCATTTAAGACTTTGTTTGAAAGATACTTCCTATTAATCCAGGTCAACAATTTCTCATATTCTTTATAATAAGGTTTTGCACTTGGATTTTACAGGTACCAGATTTTCTTCTGCTTCTGCAACAAGCCAGAAGGTTCAACCGAAATCATTTTATTTCTAAAGACGGTGATTTATATAAACAAATCTCAAGTGGCATATCCATCGCAATCATGGAATTACGGATAAACAGCCCACTTAATTAGAAATATATTCGAGTATTAGCTACACTTGCATAATTGAATAAAATACGCGTGGAAACCATTCTGCAGAAGCTTTTATTGGATCTGATTAGCATCGTGGAAATCTGCTTCGAACATTCTTGGGTCTTTTTCATGAATATCAATTAGGGGACTTTCCTAAAAGCCTCTAAACGTCTTAAAATCTTCTAGAAATTTTCATGGAAATTAGAAATCTTACTCCTCTTAGTGTTTTAATTAGACCCAGTAATAGAAAAATCTTTTTTTTTTAATTTCCCCATGTAATAGTTTTGTCCGTCAGTCTGCTCGTTTGTTCCTCGTTTAACTCAAGAACGAAAAGAGACCCTATTGAATATGAGCCAGATTAAAAGTGTTTCCTTTATGTATCACAACATGGTCGATTTATTTAAGACTTTGTTTGAAAGATGTTTCCTATTAATCCCTTAGACCAGTGTTTCTCAAACTGGGGGGCTTTACTTACCAAGTTTTTGTTAAAATTATTTGTTGATATCTTTGAAAATAAATAGACACCAACGTATTCTCGAAAATGACATTTTTTGGCCATAATTCGCTATATTTGACCTACAAGACTTTTGGGAAGGGAAAATTGATCACCATACAATTTTACATAAATTTGCCCTAAACGGCTTTGTATCTCTTACGGTTTCCGAGTCCCCATAATGAAAAAAAAACTCACCCTGTAATTTTTTTGTTAAATGCGGTTGTAGTAACAGCACTTTTTATTTTTTTAACGGGATGGGGGGGGGGCGTGAGTAATTTTAGTTTTATGAAAGGGAGCGTCATGGAAAATGGTTTGAGAATCGCTGCCTTAGACCATATATAGCACATAGACTACTAATTGCAACCAAAATATGAACAAGGACATCGCCTGGGTATGTGAATTTTAGGGTAAACGAGTCTGTTCGAAGTTGCCCGATGAGACACGATTTGAGACTGTCAACCCTTAAATTAACAAACGTCAATTAATTCATCGCCTAGAAATGTCAAAAAAGCAAACCTATTTGTGGATGTATAGAGGATAATTAGGAGTATTTAAGGTGGCGTTTATATTGAAAAATTGGAAATTTGTTTCCACAATAACTGCCTTTTGGTTCAAAATTGTTGGTTGTAATAACATTCATCCAAATATCTATCTTATCAAATAGATATCTTTCATTTTTTCATTTTTCAATGATAATTTCGGATAATTTGTTATAAAATTTAACTTCATTAACAAGCTTATACCTTTAGCAACAATCGCTCGTTGACAGAAGTTGATTTTTTTTATTTCAAAACAAAACTATTGAGGAAATCGCAAGGTCACTTTTGTACTTTTTGTAAACGCCATCTTGAAGCAGTTAAAGCTTCCCGTACTACTCGGTTGTTATTGAAGCTGCTCTTTACCCGATCGTGTTTAAACAACTTTAGTTTACCCTGAGATTCACATACTCACGACTACAGTGCCCCCTATACGTGACCACCACTGAACTATAATTATACTGGAACGCGCGTTCCGTCGGTCAACGCGATTCGAGAGAGAGGGCCACTGTCCCATTCTCGCGCAAGCATAGAGCAACCTATTTGATATGTTTTGAATTAATATTACTGAATGCAGTTTCCCAATGAGTGACAGTGACAGAAATACCCCTTGCACTATCTCTCTCCGCGGGCTACGTTTCTATGGCAGAGACCGCCAGTGCGCGTTCCAGTATAAGTATAGTTCAGTGATGACCACACATTTTGTATTGAAAGCATAGAGCAAATAGCAGTCCATATACTGTATGATCTAAGATTAATCCACGTCAACAACTTTTCATATTCTTTATAATAGGCTTTTGCATTTGGATTTTACAGGTACCAGATTTTCTTCCGCTTCTGCAACAAGCCACTGAATGGACGGTGTATTATCTTTTTCAACCGAAGTCATTTTATTTCTAAAGACTATGATTTTTATAAGCGAACCTCAAGTGGCATTTCCAAGGCAATCATGAAATTACGGATAATCAGCCGACTTAATTATAAATATATTCCAGTATAACGTCAATATCACTTCATCTTACTTCTCTTAATTTTAAATTATATTGCAGGCATAATAAACAAGTATAAATTGTGCATAACTCTAGTGCGCAGATGAAGCGATGAAGGATAACACTAGTTCCACTCCCTCCCCCCTGCCCTCCACTCCGTACTTTGATAAGAGGACAGAAAGAAGGGCGGTAACGGTTCCTTTGACCTTGCATTAGAATACCATGAAGGGTAGAACATGTGTTTACCTCCCCCATTTTAAGTTTAACTTGGCACCACTAATGGCATGCGTATGCAAAATCTGAATCAAATTGGTTGTCGTATGTAAAAGTTATGCACGTTTTACTTTCAAAGACAGCAAGACAGCGAAATTTGATCGCCGTGTGGCACACCTTCAAGGTATAGGCTACCTCTACTGCAAAAAATTCCAGGAGTCTTGGACCATTCTCCTAGAAGTAGTTCGAAACGGCAGAAGTGGGTCCGGACGGACAGACGGACGGACGGACAAAACGCAAACAATAGCACATTTTTTAAGAATTAACAATAAACGCTTTTA